ATGTGAATTCTAAATGGAGATAAGAAATGCAACAAAGACAAATCACAGAATGGTTTGGGTTGGAAGGGACCTTAAATATCATCTGGTTCCAACCTTCCTCCCGAGGACACTGATACTTCCCACTAGTCCAGATTGCTCAAAGCCCCATCCAGCCTGACCTTGAACAATGCCTGGGATGGTGCATCCACAGCTTCTCTGGGCAACCTTTTTCAGTGCCTCACCACCCTCACAATAAAGAACTTCTCCCTAATATCCAATGTAAGCTTACTCTCTCACAGTTTAAAGGCATTCTCCCTCATCCTGTCACTACAGGCCCTTGCTTCCAGAAACATGTTTTCATAAAATATAAAGCAGAAGCACCTCTGTGGAAAAAACAGAAAATGCTGTAAACTACTGGCCACATGAAGGCTGTTAGCCATTTCAGTATGTTTTTCTTCAAGTTTTCTGTTTGTTTCAAAGAATGAAAGTCTTTGAGCACAAAACGGATACAGAATGCTAATGGCATGACATTAATAGAACACTAAAGTAAACGTAAATTGTCTTCTGGATTTTCCAATGCAATTTTAAAGAGCCACTATCATCTCAAAAGTGACTGTAGCATCATAAATGCCAAAGGCAGTGGAGTTCATTTAACAGGATCTACAGAGGAGAGGGGACAAAGCACATGCCTCACGTGAAATCTGATGCTTAGAAAATGCAGAAAGGCCTACCTAAATCTATTTATGGCCTCATGGGTGGAGATCCTTGTCCACACCAAAGCAGATGAGGACTCATGGTTTATGAGACTAACTCCCTCTATGATTGCCTCTACTGCCCTCCCAGACAGGACAGCTCATGTGTACGTACACACGTAGAAGCGCAGACTCACACATTTCTTCAGTCCTGGGCAAAGCTACAGACATTCAACATCCTTTGAGTCTGAAGGAATTGCCATCAGGCCAGTGCTCCTAAACTACTCACAAGGTGTAAAGAAAGAAAGGGGAGAATGGAAGATGCTGTGACAGTCTGAGACTGGATTCAAACTTGTACCTTCTTCATGTCATGTTCCTAACCTCAGAACATAACCTGACTTTATGTCAGGTTTCCTATATCAAGAACGGAGCCTATGCGAGGGTTCCTGTCCTCAGATCCTGACATGAAACAGTTCTGGCTAAACCAAAAGACAAAAGGATTCCTACATATTCTTCTGCTCAATTAATTCTAAGGCAGGCTTTGAAAAAAACCCTTAATTGAACAGCCAAAGAGTGATTTTTTTGAAGGGAAATTAGATTACATTGATGACATAAATTGTCCCTCCATAACCTGCAGCAGAAATGCCACATGCCTGGCTTTTTCAAAAGGCACTGAGGTTGTGCAATCTGTTGGCTTCCACACCAGGAGAGTCTCTGCTGTTGTGCTGAAGAAAATGTGTAAATTTTATAATGATCCCCTTCCACCAACTGTGAGATTCCTGACTTAACTGCATCATAAGAAAAAAATAATAGTAGTCTTCAATGGACACGTGACAATGCAGTGCAGGCACATTAAGATTTTACTCATCTCTATTAAGATGTGACTTCATTATCATACTTTAATCCTTCAAGTATCAATAAGAGAACAAAAAAAATTATCATTGTACTGCACGTGTCATTTGTTACACTTTTAAGGTTTCTCTAATATTGCATAAAACCAGTTATATGCATAAAGTTGTTATCCTGAGAACTGTCATCCCTGTGTGCATTGCCACATGCTACAACTAACACAGCTGAAAAACAGCTTAACTCACAGAACCTGTTGTTGATGGCTTTCAGGAAAACTATACAAACAGAAGCTTTCAGAGCAAAGCAAAGACTTTAAAATGAGAGTCATTATCACAACAGATGCTCTCATTTCTGCTTAAAGGAGCCTCAGCTTGATTTTCTTTAACAGAGCACTCCTCTTCTCTGTCCGTGTCCCTGAAAACTCCGAGTGTGGACAGGGTGTGGACAGGGCAGCTCCCACGATGGAGGACAACACGGGCAAAGTAAAAGCACACCGCGCTTCACCAGTGCACTAAAGAAAACTGATCAGAGGGAGGCACGTACAGGACAAAGAGGTGTTTGCTGCCGTTTCGGCCGGGGCTTAATTCTCGACCTTCATACGACAAAATATTTAAAAAATGCTGCCCCTTTGTGTCTTCACAACGCGCCAGGCCTGAATCTATCTTCCCTTTCCTCATCTCACAGCTGCCTGTGCTCTGTCCCTCCTCTCTACTGCGGAGGAATGGGCGGGGGAAAAGCTGATGTTGCCCAGTGCGGTTCAAGCCTCGCTCTCCCCTGAAAATCCTGTTGGCGGTGGATGCTGCGCTGGCACAAGCCGTCGGCGTGCCTTCCCCCAGCGGGCTACGGGCCCCGCTTGGAAGCAGCAGGTCCCTCCCGCCTTCCTTCCCTCCATCCCCGTGTCCCTCTCCGCCTTGCCCCATACCTGGAAGTGCCTCTGGAAGCCGCCGGGCGAGCGCTTGTGCTGCGGCGGCGGGTGCAGAGGCGCTCCGGCCGGGGACGCGCCGCCGTACGGAGCCGGGTACCGGGGACTGACGCTCTGCGGCCTGCGCGGGGTCTGCGCCCCGGGCGAGGGGCTCCCGAAGCGCCCGTGGAACCCGGGGCCTCGGGGCGAGAGGCCGCTGCCGTAGGGCCCGGGCCGGTGGCCGTAGGGCGGCGTGTGGTGGGGGCTCCCGTAGCCCCGCGGAGAGGGCGGCAGGGGCCCTCCGCCGGAGGGAGGGCTCCGGAAGCCGCCGCCCGCATAGGGAGGTGTCGGCGCGCGGAATCCCGGCCGGTACATGGCCGGGACAGGCCGGGAATGGCGGCGGGAGCGGAACCTGTGCAATGGCGGCGGCGCCGCGTCCGCTCTTTTCTCTTCCCCCGCCTCTTCCCCGCCAGGCGGGCGGCAGGTTCCGGCCTCTAAACGTTCCGCGGCGGGGAGGGCGAGGCGCCGTCCATCCCATCCCATCCCATCCCGCCTGGAAGCGGGAGGCGGGAGAGAGGGCCCGGCAGCCTCACACAGAGACCTGGCGCGCCGAGCCCCAGGGATTCTGCGCGCTTTCAACTGAAGGGGAATAATCCGGAGCAGGAGCCTCAGAGGATTCCCGCTAACTCAGACGCTGGGGCTCACGGGGTTTGTGGGCTCGGCGTGGCTGTCAGCGAATGCCCGCCGTTCTACAGCTGCTAAAAACCAACGAAATGAACTCGTGTGAAGCAAAGCGAGTGTTCACCTCATATTTCGTGTCACTTCAGATATACTTATTGTGCGCCTTTGTTCTGGAGTCTTAACGTCTGAGGCTGCAAATGCTGCGTGTTACGGCAGTCCCGACTGAAAAAACACAGAGTGACATTTAAAAAGCACTTTAATGGAAAGGGTTTTCCTCAAAATCAGTTTGAACCATCAGCAATTAAGTGAGTGGTAGCTCAGGCAGTGACTTACTCATACAAACCCGTAGCAAAATGCTATTTTGTTGTATTTAGCACAAAGTCAATTTAACAGTGTTGTTTATTACAATTCCTGCTCTGTTCCCAGGTACCTAATAATGCAAATCCTCGACAGCTCTGTAAAAAATAGTAAGGATTTTTTTTTTTTAAATTATTATTTATTTCTGTCAGCAAAGCACTACTCGATTTTAGGACATTGCAACATAGGAAAATTAAAAAGGGCTTTCAGAGCAGCAGTGAACAAAAGTTAACTATTAAAATAAGCAGAAAGTTTCTATGCTCTATATACCAGTCTTGCTTTTCTTTGGCTTTAACAGTATTTTAGTTTGTTTTTGTTTAATGACAAGAACTAATTTTATATTCACAGGGAGCTCACCTCCCCAATGTTATACAATCTCTCTATGAAAAATGAGGCAATATCGTTTAAATTCTAAAATAGAAAGAGAAACCTGCTCATCTAAATTTTTTGATAATCCTTTAGTCTGGAAGACTATCTGTTTTTACTGTGCACACATGTCTACATAAGACAGTTTATCAATTTAAGTTACCAAATTATCTGATCTGTCTCATTCCAAAAAAAGCACAGTTTAATTTAAACCCTTTTCACACCACATGAATGAGAAATACGTATCGTCATGCACATGTTGAGTTATACTGGGGTAACTGTGCTAATGAATTTCTTCTTGTCGACAGATCTTTGAGCATCCGTGTGATACTTTTGATTGCACAGAGCATGTCCAGTCAACAAACCTGTCATGTAGATTTTCTCTATGTTCTTCCTCAGCATTTAGGCAGACTAACATGTGGCACGTCTTACGCCTGTGCTATTCATCGTGCTCCTTTTCGAGCAGTCAGAAGTTTCGGCCGCTTTTGAGATACAGCAGTTGCCATTTCCTCACATATTTCGTAGAAATAAGAGGTGAACCTCTGTGCAGGCTTTTTTATCCTATTGGAGAGGCAAGAAGACACCATGCTGTTCCTGTAACAAGCCTTCTGCTCTGTCCTAACAGAGACTAAAAATAGTATGAGGGTTCATCGTTCAGGGAAGAGTCGCTCAAAGGTCAGCTCAAGCTAACCCTTCCATAACTAGCCCCAGCTGAAGGCACAGCTCACAGTGGAAGTGATACTGCGCCTTCAGTGACGGCGAGCTGAGGTGAAGGATGTCCCTCGTGCCGCTGGGCGGATGTACTGGCACCCAGTGCGACTGCCTGCCTCGGTAAGTGCGGAAAGCCGAGCGGTGCTGTTGGGGGGCGGTTTCTACTTCTATTCCACCTTGGCAATGTTGTATGTCACAGTCTGCACGCCGAACTGGAAATACAAATTTCCAGCCACCACCCAGCGGGATTCCCGCCGCAAACACCGGCAGGCAGGACGCCTCCCTGCTTTATGGAGCGCGGCCAGGACAGGAGCACGGTCCCGGAGCGGGGAATGCCGCGGGCAGCCGGGGCCGGCTCTGCGCCTGCGCGCCCCGTCCCGGCCGCTCCAGGGCTGTCCCGGGGCGGGAGGGGCAGGGGGCGGCGGCGCCTGCGCCGAGCGAGCGCTCGCTGCTGTCTCGAGTGGTGGGGATGCTGCGCGCCGCGCTGGGGAGAAGGAGCCGGGGCTGCGGAGGGCTCTGGAAGAGCCCGTGTCCCGCAGCTGCCGGAGGCAGCGCCAGAGCTCTGAGCGCTGCCTCTGCCTCCCCTTTCCCGGGCAGCGGCGGCTGGGCGCGGAGCGGAGGCGCTCCCCCGGCAGGTACCGAGCCGTGCCGCGCCCTCCTGCGCCTCCCTTGTCCCGCCGCGTCGGGCCCCTCTGTCCGTGTGATCCCGCCGGGCTCTGGTGCCGCTGGGGCGGGGGTCGGAGCCGCTTGGCTGGGGGGACGGGCGTGAAATACCTGCGGGAGGTTCCTGCCAGGGGTCCCTGCGAAGGCGTCCCTGGGCGCAGCGCAGCCCCTGGGCAGCCGCCGGGGCTCGGCCTTTGCCCCGCGGCCGTGCGCGCTGCCCGCAGCTGCGCCTCGCCTGTGACACGGAGCGTGTCGGCTCGCCTGGCAGCCTTGGCTAATGGCATGCCGTGCTCCAGGCCCGATCTTTTTTGTAAGGTTACCAAAGTCTAAGTGCGCGCAGTTGTGCTGTTTAAATTTTTTCTTAAAATGAAATAAATCCAAGCTGCAACGAAGTGATCGTTCTCTGGCTTCAAGTTTCTCTGTTACTAAATAACACAGAAAAATAGTTACAATAGCGTTGGTGGCACTACAATCGGAGGAAGTTTGCAGTTCTGCCTCCCACTATAAACGTACCAAGTGTGTGCCAGGCTGGACTGTACCCACTGATTGTGAATTAGTCTACGGTAGTGATGGACTTGATTATAACTCACTGCATGGATGAAGTGAAAAAATACTGATTGTGCAGTCAAAGTAGAGACAATAGACTTGAGGAGTCATGTCTTCTGGAATTGAAAGTAAATGGAATGGGATCTGTTAATTTGCATTGTTGCAAAAATTATTTGGCTCTCTTAGGTTCCCTCTTCTGTCACAAGTATAAAGGAAATCGTTTTGGAATATGACAGAAGAATTAATTTCTATTCTATGGAACGATCTCTCTTGGTTGCTTATTCATATTGTTAGGATAGGCCAGCCTTGGGACAAGCTGTTGAGCTTAACTAAAGAGTGTAAATCATATTGAGGGTGAGCAGGTCTATTTATTATTAATCAAAGTTATTTATGAAAGATACATATGACAGTCTAATTCACAGTAAAGTCAAGCATTGTGGGAATCAGGAGTTTACAAGAGGATACAGTTAGAGCTCAGAGAGTGATTTTTTCATTCAGTCATCAAGTTACTGGTATAAATATAAAGCAAAAATACAAAAGAAAATGTGAGTTTGCATTTTAGAAAATTTAGACTGTTGAGTCAGAATTCTGACAAAGTCAAACTTTGGGTATGTGCCTGCTTAGGAAGCTAGTGATGAATGTAAAAAACCCAGGAGATGTTTCTAGTTAATGCTGATCAATTCTGATCTTGTGTTTGTTTATGATGTGGTTTTGTTTCTTTTTGTTTCTACAATAGATAGCACTCCCTTATTCAGGATTCCATGTACCAGAACTGTGGATGTCAAAAGGCTTTCTACTGCAGTTATTTCAACAAATCAGTGTCAAGCTGCATATATTATCTAGCTCTTATATATTTATATTTTGGTGAACATCTGTGTTCTATTATGAAGAGACTAACAGGTCTGTTCCTCAATTTTCAAAAGCAAACTTTTGATCTCACTTCTTTCTTGCATTTCTTCATCATCATGGATATCTGTTGCTTACCTACATTAAAAAAAACATTCACAGTGGTCTGTTTGTCTTCAGAGCAACAGTTGTGCTCTCCTGTTCTGTTCTAGCTATGGAAGCGTCCTAATCCCTGAATGGAGTGTTAGATGATGCCACAATGTGAGTGATATGATAATTAGCAAGGGTTCACCAGTTTTAATTATGCATAAATACATATTTACAGCCTAATCTTAACCTTTTATAGGCTTTTTTGAGAAATATCTTTATGGATTCCTACAACTTGGCTGCAGGAGAGAACCTGTTGGCTCTGAAAAGTTGCTGTTGTTATGGTACTGTATCTGTGAGTAGCCCTAAATACTGGCTCAGAATGAGAATAGGTGAACTACTAAAGTGCAGCTCTAAAAGGTGTGGAAATAATAAAGAAAGGTGGACCTTTTAAACTAAGATTACATCTTTTTAATTTTTTGGGGGAGATTCAGTAAAGCTTTTTACATATTTTTGGAAAAAAGTGTAGAGTTTTTGTAGAGCAAATTGTGCACCCAGCTTGATAAGACTGAAGTTATATTGGAGGGTCTGTGGTGTTTACCAGCCACAACTGTTTTCCATTTGGAACTCAGAGGTGTGGAGCACTGAAGGGAAGTAGTGGCCTGAGATTTTCCTAAAGGCTCTGAAAGTGCAAAACACATGGCCATTCCTAGATGGGCATGTTTTCAACATGCTGCTCAGTCTGGATTTTGTATTAAAGCACAAAATCTGTTAAATGGAAATCTCCCTGGAGTAAGTGGTAATAATGGAGGTAAATTTCTTAAAGATGAGCAACGAGGATGCAAGTGTCCTCACTGAGAGCAGTACAGTTAATGAAAATATTTTAGCAGAAGCCCTGGATTTCTAATGCTGCTTCTCTCTAGCTTTTAAAAGTCTCTCTCGGTATAAATATCCTTCTTCCCATAAGTAGGAAGGAGAGTTGAGAGTGACTAAAGGGCGGTTCAGGTCTAATGAAGGGAGCGTGGAACAGGTGATACAGGCATGCACTGCTGCATGATATGAGAGATGCACCACACTGGCCTGCAGGCTTTGCATGAATGTGGTTTGATTCCCACATCTCCCCCCTCCCCCCCACACCCCATTTTGCATTTTTCTCTTACCAGGACAAGTGCCAAAAAGGGATGCCTGCCACAAGCTGGTATGTGTCATTTTAGTGGTGTTACTGGCCAGGTGCGTTTGTTTCATGTGTGATACAAGACCACCTTCCAAATAGTAATTGAATGACCATCTACACAGCATGATGAAGTGTTTGTGTCCCTAGCCTACAATTCAAGTCTGAGAGAAAAGAAGATAATTCAAGGCCACCAAAGAAGTAGTTGGCCAGCCTGTGGTCTAGACTGTGAGATTCCTTGCTCTGTCTCTGGTGTTTATTGCCATTACTGATATTTCTTAGACCTGGTCAGGTTGGAAAGGGTGAGAGAAAGGAAAGAAAGCATTGTGATTTCTTAATCATTATCTTGCATGTGTAGCTGCCATTGAAAGAGTACTTTGCCTCATATATTCTGCCTTAAGTTTTGTAATGGGGATATTCTTTTTTTTTGTGTGTGATGCAAGTGGTTAGGTCTACACAGCTCAAAACACTTTGTGAGTTCTACTGTTTCCCATTGGTCTGGTACCTTTACTTTTAGCTTGTGTCATTCTGAGGTTGCTTGCTAAAACACTTTTGTTGTATCTTTCTTCAGATTAGTCTTTAAAAGCTGTTTGAGTGTTTGTGGAAGGCACATATAAAATATCCCTACAGTAGGTTTATTGTAGACTTGCTAGGGAGTTAGAATAGGTTCTGAAATGTCATACATAAGGTTTTCCAACTTGGAAAGATTTTACTAATGTAGTACACACCCAATAACCAGCTTGTTTAGAAAGCTTTATCATCATTTATTAGGGGAGGGAGATGAGTGAGGATGATGAGTGTCATAAAAACAATGTGCTAGTTTTTTTTAAGATCTAAGTCACTGTTTTTTGTTTCCTGTCAGGCGCTAGTAATGTAAAGCCATTGGATGGTGTGAAAATTCTTGATTTAACAAGGTTTGTGTTTAATTTGTCATTTGTAGCAGTGTGTCTAAATGCAAATATTCTGATTGGAAAAACTAAGAAAACAATTTTTTTTTTCATATTAAAGGGTTCTTGCAGGACCATTTGCCACAATGAATTTGGGAGATCTAGGGGCTGAAGTTATCAAAGTGGAAAGACCAGGTAAGATTTTTATTTATTTTAGATATAATTTTAGATATAATAATATACATATATATATACATATATACATATACATATACTATGTGTATATACATATACATATACTATGTGTATATATATACACACACATACATATATATGTGTGTGTCTATATGTATATATGTATGTATAAAGTAAGGACATTGGATAATTAGCTGAATTAAATGTTGTGTATTTTTAGCTTAACACAATGGTTTCCTTCCACTCAGCACATGCACTTTTTTTCCAAAGAGTTGCTAAGGATTGGGTAATGGTAAAAAAAGGCTTCATTCTTATGGTATAGCTACACTTTTTAGTTTGTAGGACTGTATAAGAAGAATACCATTGCATCATATTTGGGTCTTTTTTAGAAATAGTCCTCTCACTTGGCTGTAAGTTTTATGCATCATTACGTATTTGAGGTGTATAATTATGTCATCGCAGCTGCACATTATGTATTGTATTTTTTCCTTTAAGTTTCCATATTTTAAGTTCCTTTCTTTTGGTATTACTAGTTTTGAAACTAGTTGGTGAAAATCATTGAGATACTAAACAATATTACACTCCCTAAATTTTATAACATAACAGTTTATAATAATTTATGACATAAATTGAGATATTAAACATACTACATTCTCTATATTTTATTTCTGATAGGAAATATTGAATAGTTGAACGTTTAGTGAAACACTGAATGTCTGACAAAGGTTTTGTCACATCAGTCTATAGGTCATCCTGATTTACTGACCATTGTTATAAAGGTTTTCACTTTTGTGACCAGGCAAAATAAATTTTATAAAGTCAGATTAGACCGACACTGGTGGTATTCCAAACATCTAGGTAGTAGGAATGGAGCAAGGTCAGCAATTAAGTATGAAGTAATGGTTTTGGAGCTTTGCATTGTTTATGATCAAAGGAGAAGGACAGTTCCAGAATTCTGAATTTCAAACATTTTAGAATGTGACTAATCCTTTCTTTCTGTGAGAGGATATCAATTTTCACAGGAGTATTAATCCAAAAAGAACAGTAGCCCCACTAGAGTTCTACATGGAAAGTATTATTGAAATGTTTTGCTTTGAATCACTCAAAGTACTCACACAGAAAGGAGATCGCCCCTACCCACCTAAGCATCCTGCTTGAACCAATATCTCAAAGGTCTTTTGAGATATTAAACAGTACAAATGTTGATAAGCAATTTATATGTTTGCAGAACTTTTGCCACTGTAGATCTTAAATGGCTGAAGACTTTTGTGTTACTATAGTGTATAGCATATTTATGACACCTAAGGTTCTTCAGCTTGTTTCTGTATCTATGCCAGTATCAGTCTTCCGTGCTGCCTCACTAAGGAAAGTTTTCATTTATGTGAAGTTAGCAAGTAGATGAAGTCTAGATATTGAAATAGATACTGGAATGCACATGCTTGCTAACACTCAGGACAGTGATTGTATCTGAATTTGAATTTAACTTTAATTATATTTAAAATAGATTGCTAGTCTTCATGATGTTTAAGAAAGGTTAAAAATTTGAAATTAAGCATAAATGATACAGTGATATCAGTGTCTGCAGCACATTTATGGCAGGATTTCTGGAAGGTGGAGGTGGACACTGCACCAGCTATAGCAAGCACTTCTTTTAGCTGGTGTTGTGCAGCATGCAGCTTAATCAGTTGTTGTCTATCAGTGGTATCTTGATGTTGTGTCTGGAGTGTTTCAGGAATAGCTTAGTGACCAGATGAACTGTGTGACTTGGTGCAGGCAAGAGCCTCTACTAAATTCTTCAGGACTGACTTAAAGAATTGCATTGTATCTCTACTTTAAGTTTAAACAAACAAACTACCAAAAAACCTCCAATTCCCCTTTCCCCAGCCTCCCCAAGAAAACAACCAAAAAAACAGCCCATAAAAAACCTGCAAATACACTAGTGTTGTGGGGCTGTATGAGTATTTTAAAGACTAAATGGAATCCCGACACTAGCAAAAACTGTTCACTTTGCTTAGTTGCATTCACTTTTAGGTGGTTTTTGATATAAATATCCTAAAATATATATGTTAAACTATTATTTGTCCTGCCTGCTAGATGAAGCTTAAGTGACTTAAATGTGATATTGGGCAACTATGTGATGGTATTTTTTTCAGGGGCTGGTGATGACACAAGAGCCTGGGGTCCACCTTTTGCTGGGACAGAAAGCATTTATTTTCTCAGTGTCAATAGAAATAAAAAGGTAAATGGGGTGTGGAACTGAACATAAGCCTATATTCTCTGTAATTATAACTGAATATATAACATTTCTTAGTTTGATTCTTAACATATAATAGAGCAATACTTACATTGACCTAATGCTTTGATGAATAAATTTCAGGAGAAAACCTGTAAGTTATTAGAACAAAAGGGTTCCAAATCTCTGATAGGGTGCTGTGAGCAGCTAAAGCAAAATGGAAAAGCAAGACTGATTCTGCTGGTCTTCAGTTGCTGGCATTAAATAACTGAAAATGAAACCTGCTGAAAGCAAGGGGTATTTTTTTGAGTGATCATTTTTTTCAGGTGCATCAGCTCAGTTGATCTGTGTCAGCTGGCAGGAGGAATGCTGTCATTGTATGACAGTGAGGGTGGCTAAATCCAGCTTTTGAAAGTTTGGGATTAATATGAGGTTTCATGACATACCTGAATTGTTTAATGGCTTGTTACCATTGAAACAAATATTTCTGGTGTCCCCCTGTCTACTTCCAGTAGTGGGTCCTGTGTAAATATATAAGGAACAGGCTGCACATCTGTCAGACTGGTTTTGGTGCTTGTCCTATTCATTAATGAGATGTAGTTCAGCTTGCTTTGCTGAGAGAATTTTTTTTTTTGCAGGAGGAAGTGGGTTATGTGTTAAAATTTATTTATCCAAATTAACTATAGTGTGAAATTTGACTGTTGGTTATGTTTAGAAGAGGCTGATAATCCCTTTCACATAATATTTCATATAAATTACTGTTGTATTTATTTTTAATCCCCAGAGTATAGCTATCAACATGAAGGATTCAAAAGGAGTAAAGCTAATCAAAGAGGTAGGTTTTGATAGCATGCAAGGCGTCCTTATTTTGTATTATTGTGATCCTGAGTAATAATGATTAAACTCTGCATTTCAAGTATTAATTTGATAGTTTAAAAAATCTAAGTATGCAGTAAATTTTGTAAATAAGTGTATAGCTTCTGTACTCTGCACTTTTGGATTTAATGTACAGTGTAGCTTGTAATTACTTTGGATTTAAATTTACATGAGAATGTGATAAAGATGTTCAAATGAAATATTCTGAGAGAATGGTCTAATAGCCTATTCTGTTACTGTTGCTGTACTACTACTCATCTTGCTGTACTACTGCATTAGAAAGATTCAAGATGGACTGATCAGATGAAGTCAGTGAGCAGTTAAGACTAGATGCTGCGCTTCAGGAAATGCAGTTTTTTGAATGCTGCAGGGTATTCATGACTTCAGTTGCTGTACATCTTCCTGAAAAACATTGTCCTGTAGGTGAGACTTAGTATTTATTTATTTTTCAGTATTTGACTTCAGGGTCTTTTAAGGTGATCCATTTCTCTATTTAAAAATAATAAAAATATCAAATTTCACATTTTATCAAACTTGTGTTTTGTCATCTCTTTATTAATTATTTGTTGAGAAAAGCAAGATCAGCTGCTTGCTAGTGCTGCATTTTAAGCCCTGCTGTAGTAGCAGCTGACTTCTGCTACTGTTTCAGTATCAGCTCCAATCCCTTTTTCACAGTGACAGTGTGTGTCATGCAGTAGGTGGAATTCGTTGTGAGTATTGCATGAAATGGAAATAGATTTAAGTTTTCTGATGCTTTTGATTTGTTAGCTATGCAAAGGTACTTCATACAGAAATCTTTGGAGATTAAAAACCAAGAATTCCACAGTGCCTTTTCTTTTTGCAGAACAGAGCATTTTATTGTTGATTTGTTATGGAGCTGTATGCCTATGTTCTAAAAAATTTGAAGCAGAAATTTTCATTTGGAAAAATTTTGCATGGTATAACACAGTCATATTTTTGTATAAACTAGTCATATTCTAATTAAGTGCTATAAAATTTTTTCCTCTTGTGGAAGAAGACTAATTTATTATTTGACCTTTAAAAATGTTGAAATAAAACTACTCAAAGTGTTCACTGATTCCACATGTGTGGGCTGAAGGTGTTTGAAGTGTTAAAGGCAGCTGGCCCTATGAGTCAAGATGAGGTGGAAGAAAAAATGGCATCACCTGTTAAATATTTACCACACTGGCTGCTTTTCATCCTTTGGCATAGCACTACAAAATACATTTTCAAGAGTCTATTCTTTCATACATGATTACTTGACTTCCACAAAATTATTACTGTGTTTTCTTTATCTCTTTATTCTATGTCACTTGTAGCCCTTTCTTTCCTTCTATTGTTTTTGGCTGGCTGTTAACTGCCTTCCAAATATTTGTCTGTCTTCCTGAATGAAAACTATTCTTTTCTCTTCAGTGACTGTATATGTGCCAGTCCCATGCTCTGACATCTTTTTGTAGCATCTCTTTTGAACATTATTTATCAGGTATTGTCAGAAACTCATTTTAAGAACCTTGAGCATACTTCTCCCCTGTGAATTATTGAGCCTTAACCAATGAACTTTTTATTTTTTTTTTTATTCATTAAGAACTTGGGACTTTAATTGGCTGGGAGCTGATGGAACTTCTTTTCCACTGTGTTTAGCTGATAGGTCAATGTGTCCCATGCATTGCTTTCTTACTTGATAAAGAAAGCTACTCACATATATATATAGATATAGCTATAGATATACACATATATATATTCATATATATATATACATACATACATATATATATATACATATATGTATGTGTATGCAGATTCTCCTCTGCAGAGTTTTTGTAAAAACCAGAACACACAAAACACAAAAGAAATCTCCATACAAACAACAAACCAAAAATATACGAACTGAAACTTTCAAAAGTTATGTGTAGTTTCCTTTATAAAGTTAGTAGCATAATTTTTTGTTATTCAATTTACTTACTACTTTGGCATGAACTGTGCTGTTTATTATTTCCTGAGGCATGAATGTTGAGCCTATCAGTGCCCTCTCGAGCAGATAGTACTCCAAGTCAGCTCCGTGTTATATTGCTCTATTAGTAGGTGTTAAAATACAAGTGATGCTTAGGGAAATTTTAGGGCATGAAGTATGAAGTTTTAGTTGACAGTGGACTTAAAACCCCATTGAGACTGAAAATCTCGGTGAGTTTTAAGAACATATAGTTTGTTTGGATCAGACTATGTATCCAGTTTTCCACAAGGGCAGAATTGTTGGTTCGGTGAGCATCAGTGCTACATATAGACTGCTGCCTTTATATATTAAAAACTATTTCCAGTGAAACCTTTAGATGCAGAACTGGCACAGTACTTGTAATGTGTCTTGAAAACTCCTTTCTCTGACTGCACATACCCTGCTAAAATGGGCCCAAGTCATTATATCCTCACTTAGCACTGTGTTGCCCAGTCCAGAAATATGGTGCTTTTCATGTTACAGTACTGTGTGTCACATTTTCTTCGTCAGTGGCTTGTAGGAGATGGTAGTTCTTCAATATAACATGGGCAACAACTTTCAACTGTTTTAGTCCATCCAGTCACTGTAATTTTCATAGATTATAAAATCACAGTGAAAGCAGTACACAAGGTGTAACCAATTTCATCTCTTGAATGAATTAGGCTAAAGCTGTAGCATTACCAGTTTTGAAAAGTATTTATGTATGAACTGTGATGGATTTAATTAGAAAATAAAGCCTCCTTAATTTAATCTTTCATAAAGGCATTGTGATTTCTGTTATGATGACACTAGTTTATAGAAGCTTGTCTAAAATACTGTTTATTTAATTAGACAGTGACATGGCAGTTTCAGAGACTGAGACTCCTTGGTTGGCTGCAAATAGCATTAAGCAATTAATGTATCAGTTATGCTTAAAAATGGGTGCACAAACATGTGTACCTGTCAGAGAACACTTACTAAATTCCTGTGCATGCACCCACACCCCATACAGTTTACCAGGCAGAAAGCCTACATGTCCCTTAAGGCATACATCTGTCTTAACAAGTTGTTCTCTTGCTTCAGGAGTCAACTTGTGTTAGTCTTACTGAAATTTGCATATGTGTATCTACTTATATTTTTTTATAAGAGAGGATGGAATGTAAAGCAAATCAAGATTATATGTTGATCTTAACATCAATAGATTTTTGGACTAGGCCATTCATTTGAAATGAAAAAAGTCATATTGCAGAGGTTGACAGCCCTATTGCATTTAATGTGACTTTAAGATCTTAATTTTAATTTCTTAATTTTAATTGTTGTTGGGCTCCCTATTTTACTTCTACATATAGGAACTTAAATATATTGTTATATCTTGACCTTGTTATGGTAATTGTAATAAATTATTTGAAAATGAAAAAATAATTAAAAAGTTATTTCTATGATGGAGAAAATATGAATGATGGACAAATACCACTTCACTTTTATTGAAAAAAATGTATGTGAAGATTGTTCTGTGAATATTGTCAAGCCTTAAGAAACTGATGTGATTCTGATCATCTTACAGTTTTGTCTCATTACTTTAGGATTTTGTCAGTCTTATTTCTAGATATGCAGTATCTCTAATATATAGTTTACACAGTCTGACAGGCAAAAGAATATCCCTATAGGCTTGTCAATTTTCTTTTATCAGGAAGACCAGAGCCATTTTAATTAGCAAGATTTTAGAATTAAGTTGCATAGGAATTTATTCAAATTTTGGGAGCTAATTAACAGATTTTACTCATCCTTTTCTTTTTTAAAGCTTGCAGCAGCATCTGATGTTTTTGTGGAAAACTTTGTCCCTGGGAAGCTGGCTGAAATGGGTCTAGGTTATGAAGATATTAAAAAGATTGCTCCTCACATAGTGTACTGTTCAATAACAGGTATTTTATTTTCAATTCTTTATGTTCATTATTTCCTTTATTTCAGTCAAAGTATTATAAAAGTCATGTGGTTGTATAGAAGGATGTTCCTTTGATGTCAGTTAAGATAAACTGAGAGTTTAAGTGACTTCAGTTAAAAAACAGGTATGGAAAACATTTGAGGAAGCAACCATGACAACAGCTCAGGAGCTGTTCAGTGTCATTGCCATGCCAGCCTAACATGTTCCTATTGATTTATTGGGCTGGCCTCCTAGGGTTTTGCTTTAAACTAGATGAAAACTGGGATTTTTTTTTTTGATTTTTTTTCCCTCTCCCCCAGCAGTTTTACTGAATCAATTTACATATTGTGTGCTTTAAATGATAATATCAGTGTTTTTTTACTGCCCTGAGGTATCTCTTTTCAGAATTGTGCAGTTACCTGCTCACAGAAGCTTTACATGACTTTTTTACAGTCTATTGCTTAGTACCTGAAGCAGTAGAAGAGTCGTATGTACTTTATAAAAGCAGGGATGAATGAAAAGGAGGTAGACACACGTATGCAGTTCCTGTTATGTGTATAAAAATAATTTTAAGTCTGGAAAACCTGCTTAAAAAAATCCCAACAAGAGACACTTCCCAAAATCTTAATCAAGCACTAAAATGAAAAGTCTAATATTAAAATGCAATTAAATAACAGCAGAAGTTACAGATATTTTTAGACTGGTTTAAAATCTTAGTTACAAATCTGCTTTGCCCTTCAATTCCTGCTGAATCCATGGCTTTGACTTTTTGCTTACTGGGTATGGATGTAATTTAATAGGAGTCAAATAGCTTTTTAGTCTTTTCTGATGTATTTATCATATTTGTGTGGTAAATGTCTGAAAATGTCAAGAAAAGAAAGACAATTATATTCAAATTTGCTTGCTGAGAATCTTGTTTAAATACCTATTTAGGTTGGCCAGTGGCTGGTTGCTACAATGTTTTTCACATTTGCTTGTGCATATAACCTAATAACTGGAATTTTTCAAGTGGGTGTGCATTTTTTTTCTTTGCTTTATTCTTTAGTTGCTGTACCCGTAATGATGAAAAATAATTAAAACTACATCCAGACAATCTGTGTGAGGTACAGCACCCTCTCATTTTGTGTCAGATGCTCCAGTCTCTTAATCAACTTTGTGACTCTGTGCTTGCCTCAATAAGTTGATGTCTGCCTTATACTGGGTAGCCCAGAGCTGGGCACAGGACTACAGACATGGCCTCAGTAGTGCTGAGAAGAGGGGAAGGATCAACCCCCTTGGCCTGCTTGACACTCTTCCCAGGGCGCTGAAAAATACTCTTGTCCTCCGCTACAAGGATGCATATTTTTATATATTTTAAGTGCTCCCTCAACTGAAGGTAACTCTTTCTTGCTGCAGACTTCTCCTCTAGTCTCAGTGACCTAGGACTCCTGAGAGCCATATTTTTTTGGGAAATACTGAGGCAAAAAAGCATTAAATGTGTCCACCTTCATGGCCTATTGCTCATTTTGCCATAGGTCCATGTCATTCCTGGTCTTCCTTCTGCTGCTGATTTGCTTGCAGAATCCTTTCATCTTGCCTTTTATGTCTTTTGCCAAATTCAACTCCAGATCAGCCTGTGCTTTTCTCACCATATATTTGTATGATCAAACAGCACCTCTGTACTTCTAGGTCACTTGCTTCTGCTTTCACTGCTTGGAAGACAAGTTGGACAAAAATGACGTAATCTTGCTGTTTAGAGCTTTGTGTAATGCATAACTTACAGTTATGTTCTATAGTGGAAAGAACATAAGTCTTATTCATAGAGTATGACAACTTGAAGTTGAAAGTGTTTGGGTGGTAAGAGCTAGGTGATGTTTGTCAGGCACCCATAAAACAACTTGAAATCTTAAATTATGGTTGTTTAAGTCTTGGATACTCAAGAGGTGATAAGCAATGTCTATTTAAGGATGATGCATCTTTTAGGAATAAAGACATAAGCTCAGTGCCCTTGAAATGAAATCAGCTCATAAATCCATTGAGTTAAGACAGGAAATAGCAAAGTCTCAATCTAAGAAAATTAAAAGAAGCAACCAGACTAAGACCAAATGTACATCTGTTACATGCAGGGAGGGGTTTTTGGCTCAATCAGGCAGAAAACTGATTTAAGAAGAATTCTTGATTGATTTCTAAAATCTCTGTGATGTATATTACAATTCCTAATTATTTTGTGCTGTGGTTGCTGCTGCTGCATTCAAATATGCTTGGGGTTTTTTGGGGGGGTATTTTCTGTTTTGTTTTTTTTTTCTTTTTCTTTTTTTTTTTTTTTATGAAGAGAGATGGGACTAAGTAGAGGCTCTGGGACTCAAGGGTCAGGCAAGTGATAGTGAAGATCACTGGGGCAAGTCCATGAACCAGACACATTACAACTACAGCTGTACATAAAGAAGGATGGGTGATTGTTGTAGGTGACTCCCTTCTGAGGGGAACTGAGGGCCCCACATTCTGACTGACCCTGTCCCACAGGGAAATCTGCCCTTCCTAGGGACCTATGTAAGAGATATGACTAGAAGATTCCTTGGACTGATTCAGCCCTCTGATTGTTACCTAATCCTGGGTTTCCATGTCAGCAGTCAGAGTGACAACTCCTAGGACAATCGAAAGGAACTTCAGGACTTTGGGATGACTGGTTGAAGGGATAAGGGCAGAGGTGGTGTTTCCCTCAATGCTTTCAGGAGCAGGGAAGAATGCTGAAACAAACAGGAGAGCCCTGATCAACACACAGCTTAAGGGCTGGTGCCATTGGTGCAATTTTGGCTTTTTCCCTCATGGGATAGCTTATACAGCACAAGGCTGGCTGCAGGCAAATGAGGCTTGCCTGTCTAAAAGAGTGAAAAGAATTCTAGGCCTGTGAGTTGGCAGGAATGATTGAGAGGGCTTTAAACTTGGTGTGAAGGGGCAATCACGTAAGACCAGATCACTAGAGATAAACCTGGAGTGGCATGCCTGTGTCAGGGGTGAAATTGATTCAGCTGGGTGAAGTCAGCCCAGCTGAAGTGCATGTACATCCCAGGAGGAGATGGAGGCCATTGTGCAGCAGGAAAGCTGTGATGTAGCTGCCATCACAGAAATTAAATGAGATGAGGCATGTAAATGGAGTGCTGCAATTCATGGCTACAAGCACTTCAGAAGGGACAAGTGAGGAAGGGGAGAGGTGGTGGAGTGGCTCTATACATTAGGGAGTGTTTCAACTGTACAGAGCTCCAGGATAGTGATGACAAAGTTGAGTATCTGTGGGTAAGAATCAGGGGGAAGGCCAACAAGGCAGACATCCTGATGGGAGTCTGTTATAGGCAACCCAACCAGGATGAAGAATGAACTATGCTGTAAGCATCTGGCTGATGTTTCACAATTGCTAGCCCTTGTTCTTGTGGGAGACTAACTTGTGGGATGTCTGCTGGAAACTCAACACAGTGGAGAGGAGGCAGTCTAGGAGGTTTCTCGAGTGTGTGGAAGGACAACTTCCTGACATAACTGGTAAGGGAGATGCCCTGCTAGACCTGCTTTTTACAAACAGAGAAGGGCTGGTGGGAAATGTGGTGGTCAGATGACATCTTTGGCAGTGACCATGACATAACACAGTATTCAATGCTTGGTGAAGTAAAGGAGTCAACAAAACCTGTACTTGTACTTCAGAAGGGTGGACTTTGGTCTGTCCAGGACACTGGTTCAGAGAGTTCCTTGGGAAAGAGCCATTAAAAACAAAGGGGTCCAGAAAGGCTGGATGTACTTTGAGAGCAATCGTAAAGGCACAGGAACAGTCTGTCCCTGTGTGCCAAATGACAAGCTGTCAGGGAAGAAGACTGGCCTGACTGAATAAGGAGCATTTGCTGGAATTTAAGGGGAAAAAAAAAAAAAAAGAGTTTATTACCTTAGGAAAAAGTGGCAGGCAACTCAGGAAGAGTACAAGCGTGTTGTTAGGTGATATAGAAAGAAAATTAGAAAGACAAAAGCTGTTCTAGAACTCAATCTGGCCACCTCTGTGAAAGATAATAGAAAGGGATCAGGCCCAGCCAGCCCAGTTTGTGAAAGGCAGGTCCTGTTTGACCAGCCTGATCTCCTTTTATGATCAGGGGCCCACCTAGTGGATGGGGGAAAGGCTGTGGATCTTGTCTATGTGGACTTCAGCAAAACCTTTGATACTGTCTCCCACAGCATTCTGCTGGGCAAGCTGGCAGCCCACAGCTTGGACTGGTGTACACTTTCCTGGCTGAAGAACTGAGTGGGTGGTGGTGAATGGTGCCACATCCAAACTGTGGCTAGTTATAAGTGGGGCTCCCCAGGGCTCAATATTGGGTCCAGTCCTGTTTAATAAAGTTATTGATGATGTGGACACAGGGATCAGGTGCACCCGCAGTAAGTTTGAGGATGACACCAAATTGGGAAAGAATTTTGGTCTGCTGGAGGGTAGAAATTACTGTAGAGGGTTCTGGCCAGGCTGGATTGATGGGCTGAGGCCAATGGTGTGAGGTTCAGTAAGGTGAAGTACCAGATTCTTCACTTGAGTTGCAGCAACTCCCTGCAGCACTACAGGCTGGGGTAGGAGCAGCTGGAAAGCTGCCCAGCAGAAAGGGATCTGAGCATGCTGATATACAGCAGTTGAAGTTGAGCTAGCAGTGTGCCCAGGTAGCCATGAAGGACAATGGCATCCTGGCCTGTATCACAAATAGTGATTGTCCCTCTGTGCTCAGCACTGGCTGGTTCAGTACCTGCTGGTATTTTGTATTTGTGGTTAAAGTGGTAGTAGCCATTACCCTATTATGGTTTAGGGTATTTGCCAGATCCTGTAAGTGGTTCAGATGCTGGAGGGCTGCACTCCTTGTGATACTGTTTTTGTGAATCCTGTTAAGTAGGAATGGATGTTTTGTACTGCTTGATCTGTGAGCCAGATCAGGCTGCACTGTCTTCAGAATACATCACATTGGTCACGTGGCAGTGCTTGGTTCATATGTGCCACGTGTCATA